ATCCACTCACTTCAGCCTCCCAAAGGCACGGGATTACAGGCTGAGCCACCAAGCCCGGCCACACCAGCCTTCTTAAATCGCCTGCACACTCCCAGCTTGTCATGCTTCATGGCCTTTGCACTTGCTGTTCCTCCTGCCTGGACACCCTTCCCCAGCTCCTCAAATGGCTGGGTGGCACAGGTTTTAGTTCAAGAGTCACCTTCCCTGAGCCGGGGACAGTGGCTCACGCCTGCAATCCCAGCACTTTGGGAGGCAGAGGCAAGAAGACTGCCTGAGCACAGGACTTCCAGACCAGCCTGGGCAACGTGGCGAGAACTCATCTCTACAATAAATAAAAAAATTAGCTGGGCGTGGTGGTACACGCCTGTAGTTCCAGGTACTTGGAAGGCTGAGGTGGAAGGATCGCCTGAGTCCAGCAGGTTGAGACTGTGGTAGCCATGACCATGCCACTGCACACCAGCATGAGTGACAGAGACCCCCGACTCAAAAAAAGTCACCTTACCTGGACCTCTAACTAAGGTAGCCCCTCCTTGAAACTTCTATCATGCCAATGGCACCATCATCTGCTTGTCTTCATTTATTTATTTATTTTGAGTTGCAATCTCACTCTGTCGCCCAAGCTGGAGTGCAGTGGCATGCTCATGGCCACCCCAGCGTCGACATGCTGGGCTCCGGCAATCCTTCCGCCTCAGCCTTCCAAGTAGCCAGAACTACAGGTGCGCGCTACCATGCCCAGCTACTTTTCAACTTATTGTAGAGATGAGGTCTCACCAAGTTGCCTGGGCTGGTCTCAAATCTGCGGACCCAGGCAATCCACTCGCCTTGGCCTCCCAAAGTGCTGGGATGACAGGCTGAGCCACTGAGCCCACCCATCTGCTTGCCTTCATAACAAGTGTGTCAGATGGTCACCTGACACTCCCTCACTGCCTCTACACACACTGGACTTAGCTGCCATGCAGGGGGAACCGGCTGTCCTTTCTACTGCTGTATCCCTGGCGTGCAAGTGGCCTCTCCACAGGTTGGCAGGGTCGTGAGTGAGGGTACCACCCCAGGCCCTCAGGCTCCAGCCTGCTGCCTGACACCAACACCAGGACTCAACGCCTCAGGCCAAGAAGGACAGAGCGTTTCTTTTTTTTTTTTTT